CGTGGATTCATTTCTGTGTTCTGTCATGATTGGCCTCTGGAAATAATCAGAGTGGATGTCATTTTGCCATATATGTGTGCCTTGTGCGACAGGTTCAAGGCTAGATGCACTTCACATTCGGCGTGCGATCTCAGCGTCTGGGACCTGATGAAGTCTTGGTTGGATGATTATTCAAGCCTGATACTACTCGACACACCAATGTTCATGTCAATGTAATTTTTTCAGAGCTGCACTATTTACGTGTTGACGCTTACTTCGGTGTTAGCGTGTTTCCCCCGGATTGTTTCTATCATCATGATCGTGTGTTCTTGGGCTGAGCGAGCACATACACAAGTATGCAGCTATACCCCTGTGTATCTTTGGTTACACTTTGTTCTGCAATGCATGTACCTTGTAACATTATGTGCTTGCACTGCTTTGTCTGGCCTGCGTATTTCAGGACTATTCAGTGCGTTAGACCCAGGTTTGTTTGGTTGCCGGATGACCTCTTGTTGCGTCGCTCTGTATTTGTATTCATCAATTTTTGGGCTTGAGAATTGAGCTGTTGTGTGGTTCCCAATATGAAAACATCATGCTGGTGCTCTGTGTTTCGATTATCGACTGTCGGAGCAGTCCTGCATTTATTAGCAGAACGGTCAATACTGTAGTCTTTTCACGTGTTTGTCTTTTTTGTGTTTTCGCCGGGGGTATTAGCGGTAACGTTGCACACAGAACGGCAGTGTTGCATCACTGGACGACCCTGCCTCTGCATCTGACTTAATTTCCCCAGGATCTGGTGCAGTTACACCAGACAGCCACTTCCTGTAAACACGCAAACAGCAAAAGAAGAGATCCCGCAAATCAGGAAAAAACATTATGGAAAATATAGAGTACTTCTTTTTGAAGTAGATCATACAACATTCAATAATCTGGAGTAATTACAGTGAGACAAACACTTCAAACAGTGCTCTCTCTCTCTCTCTCTGTCTCCATCCTTCCAAAAATACCCTATGACAATTCCCTAGAATTATTTTTGTGCTGGAATACTCCACTGGCTCCAGTACGGTGGGTCAGTTTTCGCACTCCTTTGTTATTCCCGCACCTGTCACTGCACTGCCTTTCCTCCGTGACCCGGAGCTGTTGCGAGCGCTCATGTTTCCTTTGCGTCTCCTTCGGAGCGCTTTCCTGCTCTCCGTGTCTCTTTGCATCGCTGCACTTTGGCTGGCGCTGTTTGCAAGCAGCTCCTTCATATTCACATGTTCCGTGCTTTATTTGTTAGTGTTTTTAGAGATTTAGAGTTTGTTAGAGTTACTAGTACTTAGAGAGTTAGACCTACGAGAGGTAGAGTGAGTCTAGAGTTTGCCCGCGCGGCTTGTAATTGTTGTTTCGCAGCTCAGAGTTTTGCTTGTATTTTCAGAGTTTCGTGGTTCACAGATGTCCCTCGTTCTTCACAGTATATCAGTTTGTTCTCAACAGTGAGATTCAGTACCAGAGTGTAACAATTTTATTTTATATTCTTAGGACATCATTCTGAACATAATAAATTCTTCCATGGGTCTTCAATCACCACGGAGGGCGAAAATATATCTAAGTCATGCAGTTTACGGGAGGTACGAGCTGTCATGGATATAGAGGCTGATATTGTGCCAGCGCGAGGGCAGAGACAGAAAGAAGACACTGATTTCTTGAACAACTCACCTATATATAATCGAATCCACAAGGAGCGCTCATACTTTGATCCATCAGGACGCGAAACATCTTCAAAGCACTCTCAAACACGGAGTTTTACTGTGGGCAGCCAATTTCACAGCCATCATGAAGGCACTCGACGACTACAGGAGTTTTGTAGAGGAAAGAACAAGGAGTAAAGAGCGACAACAATCGCTTGAAGAAAAAGCAAAGAAAAACAACTGTCCATGAACACCGTTCAGGAAACACATGTTTTCAGTAGAGCACATAATGACTTTGACGCTGTGTGATGTCTCCGTTTTAACTCTTGGTAACTTTCCTTAGGACTTCATCCAACACACCAGCAACTACGGCGGCACACGGGCAAGTGCACTCTACATAATTTATCCTCCGAGTTATAATAATACTAGCAGCACCCAAAAAAGGTCAAACAGGCTAGTAAGTTGTACCCTGCAGGCACGGTGACCAGGTGACTGGTGTACGCAGGAGCACGTGACCACTTGTTCAACCATGTTCGATTGGGAATAAAGGAGGAACGCTGCATCGCAGCCTTTTCGGACCAAAACCAGTCGACTCAGCGTCCAAAAGACTACAACATATGAGCCAATCGCGTTCATCCGTGCTTTTATAAGAACGAAATGGCGCTTTTAGTGACATTTTTGCATACAAATCCCTATCTAGTAGGGCGCAGTCACCCAGTTTCGGTGGAAGTGCGCGAGTTCGATTGGGATTCAAGTAGGAAGGGAGCGTCTCAGCTTTCTCGGACCAAGACCATTCGACTCAGCACCCCGAAGACTACAACTGGTGAAATATTAATGTCCAGACGTTTCTCTGTCGACGCGCTGTCTCTCGCTTTTTGCCAATATTCGAGGGCGGGTTTCGGTCCTTGCGCCTCTTGTTACGCCTTAGGTTGTTGCTGCATCGTGTTCAGCGCCCCCTAATCCTTCGGACTACCAAGTTTCATTGGCGTAACAAGAGGCGCACCGATGTTATGGCTCCCGACTGGTGTCACTGTCCAGCAAGGAGGATTGCTTTGGGAAGGCATGTGCACCAATCTAAAAAGCAACAGAAGCAAGCGAATCGCCATCAATCCGATTAAACTTCGCTTGCGTCTGGTGTGCAGCATTTTGTATCTATTCAGAAGCTTGTTGGTGATGAAGGTAAGGAGATGGCTACTTCAGTCCCGGTCCCAGGTACTGTTTCGGAAAGCTATGTCTTTCTTGCAAAGTTTTGTCCAATTGTATGCATCATTTCAGAAATGGAAACTATTTCCAAATTTCCAATGCTGTCAGTGTTACTCAATCAAGGCAACACTACAAATAGTTGTCAGCCAAACATAACCTGTGTGAGAGAGAAAGTGAGGAACGTTCACTTTCACACAGACCATGTCTCTAACAAAGTCTCTCTACTGTACTACTCCAGAACAAACAATACGTTCGAGCACAATTATGTTTTCAAATTCCTGATCGTCTGCAGAAACTTGTCTTGAGAAAGCGCTTCTTCCGACATCATCCATCAACAGCAGCCACCGCTCCCGTTGCCACCAACTCGTCATTGGATCCCAAATATCTTACCATCACCGGTTCACAGCAAATAGTACATGCACTGGCGATCCTTGAAGACAATTGCACATTTCCCTTCTCTGCAGAGGAACAAACATTTTCTCTTCAGAAAGTAATAGTTTTCGGCTCGAGTGCTGCACGCACGCAGCGGTGCCGCTAGCCGCTAGCATAGCGAAGTACACGCACGTGACACGCGAGATTACATCATGCACTCTCCGTCGCGACTTGGGACCCGAGTGCCGGGTGCCATTTTTCGAGCTCCCACGCGTACATTCGTCGCGACAAAAAAATCACGTAGTCGGGCTCCTTCCAACACCCATAACTCTCTTCCAGTTGCTCTAACCCAGCCCAAATTTTAGATTTGAACGCCTGAAGCTCTAAGCTTTCCGTAGATACCCAATTCGATAGGGTTTTCCAAAATTTAATTTTCGCCTGACCTCGCTAGCGTGAGGAGATTTCGAATCCGCACTGCTGCAAACACCGTACAAACCGAAAATTCAAATGAGCTTGACTTCATCTCGTTTTGCAAGACGGGAGAGAAGCCAGTTCGCGATCAGCCCAGACGAAAGTTGGTTACGACTGATCTCCTGTCAGCGGCCTCAGACTGGAAACTTCTTGTCGACTCAGTTAGTGCAAAGATTTCTTTCCCTAGCTGTGTTGCACTTACCACCCTAAGACCTAATATAGTTCTGTACTCTACGAGTCGTAGGATTGTATTCTGAATGGAGTTGACAGTTTGTGCTGAGGACGGATTCAGTGTCAGTAACTCGCGGAAGGACAGGTGGTACGCGGATCTGGCCGATCAATGCCGAGCAAACGGGTGGCAGGTCGTTTCTTTTTCGGTTGAGGTAGGTGTGCGTGGTTTCATCCCCGACTCTCTTCGGAGGGCTCTGAAAGCGCTTGGGTTTTCTAATCGAAGAATAAAATTTATTTGTAATTTGTGCAGTAAGACGTCTCTGTGAAGCAACTACATCATCTGGTTGCGACGTCAACAAAAACACTGGTCGAAAGATCCACTTTTCTGAGGTACTGTATGTGGGGCTCCGTTTATTGAGGTGCGTTGAAATTTATTCTCTTTATCTTATTATTTCTCTTCTATAATTTCCCCATATGAGTTCCTATCAGTTGCTGTGAACACCTTGAGTGGAGAGCGCTTGCTCGAGCGTTGAACCGGGTTCTTAATCCACCATACCCAGTTCGCAAGGCTGGGCGGGGTTGTGAGCAGGCTTTCATTTCATCTTTTCTTGTTGTTTCTTATTATTTCTGCTTTTCATCTCATTACAAAAATTCTGCGCATTATTTTCTCCATCTGCGCATAAAATCTAGACTGACAACCTGCTTGTTAAATCATGCACCTGCTTTCAGGCATAAAAAACCCTGTTGTAGAGGTCTCAGTCCTCATTTGTTAGACTTACCTGTCTTTATAAATGTAACTTACTCTCTCTCTCTCTCTCTCTCTCTCTCTCTCTCTCTCTCTCTCTCTCTCTCTCTCTCTCTCTCTCTCTCTCTCTCTCTCTCTCTCTCTCTCTCTCTCTCTCTCTCTCTCTCTCTCTCTCTCTCTCGCTCTCTCTCTATCTATCTATCTATCTATCTCTCTCTCTCTCTCTCTCTCTCTCTCTCTATCTCTATCTCTATCTCTCTATCTCTATTTCTCTCTCTCTCTCTATCTATCTATCTATCTATCTCTCTCTCTCTATCTCTCTCTATCTCTCTATCTCTATTTCTCTCTCTCTCTCTCTCTCATCTCTATATCTCTTATCTGTTCCCCAGTTCCTCCAATACTTGACCAGTCCTCAGTCCTGAACAGCACGTGGCCAATCAATGGAAAGCACTCGCTTTACGTTCTTCTAAAGCATGCTCCTATTCCAGCTCCTACAGTCGTATGGCAGCACAATGGAGCCCCCGTCACAGGGGTGAGCACAGTGAGATTATCCAGCACCAGCTGGTCGTTGATCTTGAATAATCTAGCAATGTCTGACGTCGGAGTGTATACAATCACGATCAGCAACGCTGTGGGATCAGAGAAAGTGACGTTCTTCTTGGACGTTCAAGGTATGTTCTGAAATTGCTATCCTTGCCCTGTCTAACTGTCTGTATGTATTTCTGCCCGCCCGTCCACCCGCCTACCCGCCTACCTATCTGTTGATCTGTTGCGCTTTCTGCTTTTCTGAATCATCTGCCTGTTTTTCTGTCTGTCTGTCCATGTGTCTGTCCATGTGTCTGTCCATGTCTCTGTCCATCTGCCCCATCTGCCTGTGTGTGTGCCCCGATTATTTTATTTTGAGCGCTTTTCAGTCTGGTTGGCCATTAATTCATAATTGACATGGTTGTAGTACGTGTGCTGGACAGTTAAAAATGTGTTCTGGGGACCCAACAGTAAGCCATTTTCCTAAAAAAAATCACCAAGGGGGCCCTGCCCCCTGCACCCCCGCCGGGGGACACCCCGGACCCTCCCCCCGTCAGATTTTTCTCCATCCAAGTGTGGCAGCCCTGCCATAGTATCTATATGTTTGATCTTTTTTCTGGACATACTCACGCATGCAAAATGTACATCGATATTTTTCGAGATATGACCAGGCGCTCAACCCCCACCCCCTAAACGACTAGTTTTCGTTTCTTAATAAATATCTATACTATTTGCGGATGGCCCGTAAGCAAGACGTCACGAACACGTATAGGTTCTACTCGGATGGTGAGCCAATTAAACTATGTTAAAAAAGGAGAAGGACAACATGTTATGAGTTATGAGCCTTGGAGAAGTGCTGGAGCTAGGTGTCAGGTCGCCGAATGTCTCAGTACTCCTTGTCAGTTTTGTGCCATTTTGTCGCACTCGCTGACTGTACACAATCTGGCTACGTTGGTGGACAGTTAGTCATAACTCGCAATATGTTGTCCTTCTCCTTTTCAGTAGATCCCCTCGACAGGCCCAAAGCCTTTGGGAAATCCTTAAATATAATAAAATACGAAAATACAAATACGTATAGGTTCTTATTAACATTTCCTTGGTGTTTGTCTTACCTACCCAGTGATCCCAAGAGTGAGTGCACACTCATCCTTACACAGAACTGTGCTGCTTGGTAAGCCCGCCAACTTTTCCATCACCCTGGAGCACGCGCACCGTACAATGCCGACGATCGTCTGGTCGCACGCCGGACATCCAATCAATGCCAGCGATGACAGGGTGCAGTTGTCCAATGGTGGACTGTCGTTGGAACTGACCAACGTGGTGCCGTCGGACAGGGGACAGTACGGAGTCTTGGTGCAGAATGGCGCAGGCTATGATAACGTGAAATTCACACTGGATGTTCGAGGTAAATGCTGATATAACTACATGAAGGGCTCCAATTGAGAACGCGCCCAAACCAAACCGGAGCTTTTGCGTTTTTTAGTCACGGAAGAATTTGTTTCAGCCCACGGACGTCTGTGTGTCGGCTTTACGGGTCAAAACGCGATACATCCGAGTCAAAATAATGCCTGAAATTTGTGTTCTTCTGCAAAACGCGATAAAAGTTATTGATGCTGCTGTGTAGACCAAAAACCGAACAAATGAAAAACTGCAGTTCCTGAACTTTCCACAAAATGGATTTATCTCGTTTTAAATTGGAGCCCTTCACATGTACTTGATCAATACTGTGTGCCTGTCTCTCCATCTGGCTCTACCTGTCAGTCTTTCTGCCCGCACATCATCCTTCCCAGTGCTAATACTCGGTCAACATGGTTTTTTCTTCAGATTTTGACATTTTGACACCGATCCAAGTATTGCAAGATTTGGCCCAGAATCTGCGAAAACCAGGCTTAGGGTGAAATTTCACAAAATGACTTTTTCCCATTTTCAGCTTCTACTGGGCATGGGAGGTCAGGAAACAAAATATTACAGGTGTGTGTCGACTCATAGTGGTATTAAAAGTATCTCAAACACATCAGGGTATTGTGTTAAAAAATCCAAAAAAAAACACAAAATTGTTATCACAGGAAAGAAATGAAGAGAGATCCACCAGAGTGAAGGAAGATACATGGATGATTTTTGTTTAGGTGACATGACAATGTAGGCATGTGGGGGCAGGCCTGTTGTGGCCTCTTGGTGCTGCAGGCTGTAGCTGCCATGCACAGTTCTGCATGTTTTGTTTGCTCCTCACTCAGCACATTCTGGGGCTGAATACATGTACTGGCATGCTCTGGCGCTACACACCACAAGGAAACCCGACTCCAGTCGAGATGGCACCTTTTGAAGGGTACAACTGTTCAGAAACCAGAAAGAACACGGCCTTTCAAACTGTTCCACTGTTCATAGTATGCGCATAGTGTGCTGGCGTGCTGCAGTGTCTGCTTGGTGCTTACCAGCAAGTGAAATCTCGCGATTATCTCGGCACGCCGTACAATCCCTGGCAGCTAGCTGTCCAGCGAGGAAAGTCTCGAGTGGAGGCCTCTCGATCTGCTCGCTCATTCGCCTGGCATTCAGTGAGCACTTCATCGCCAAGGACTTCAATTCAAAACCGTTTTCACACTGCGCTTCAAGCCTTTTTCCTCGTGAATTTGATGCAAACGTATGAGCTCTGCTGCGCGTGTTCCCTTTGCGTGAGGCCAAGAAACAGCTAGTATCTCCATACTTCGATTGGCTGGATCGATGTCGTCCAGGTTCTCCTCGCTATCGCCATCACGACTCTAACTGGAGACGATTTCTTCACCATTTTCCGCAAGCAGCAGCTAGCGCAGAAATTTCGCCATTCCTGAGTGAAGGAGATGGAATCCGTTCGATCAGCTCAAAAACTCTTCGTTGTGACTAGAGGAGTAGCAGTGAATATTCTACCGGAAGGCTTGCGGAAGCCCTTTGACTTCCCTGACTGCTGAAACCCTTCCTGCCATGACCGTGCTACTTCTTCAAACAAGCGAGATTCTCTTTGGTTCCACTTCACTGCACTCGAGCGTCGACGCGACACAACCTTTTTACAAAACATCATTTTTCTCAAAAAAATGATTTTCACCCTAAGCCTGGTTTTCGCAGAAGTTGGGCCATTTAATATTTTGCCACAAGCACCATCGATCGATTTCGTTTTTAAAACTCGGATGTTGAGCCAATAGGCGTCTTGCGCAATGGCGTAGTTCGTACCATAAGCACCCCACACAGACACCTGGGCATGGTCGTCTGGGGGGTGTTGAACAGTGCATTACTGATCCCAGCGTACTCACATAACACCCCACACAGCCACCTGGGCATGGTCATCTGGGGTGTTGAACAGTGCATTGCTGATCCCAGCGTACTCACATAACACCCCACACAGCCACCTGGGCATGGTCGTCTGGGGTGTTGAACAATGCATTGCTGATCTCAGCGTACTCACATAACACCCCACACAGCCACCTGGGCATGGTCGTCTGGGGTGTTGAACAATGCATTGCTGATCCCAGCGTACTCACATAACACCCCACACAGCCACCTGGGCATGGTCATCTGGGGTGTTGAACAGTGCATTGCTGATCCCAGCGTACTCACATAACACCCCACACAGCCACCTGGGCATGGTCGTCTGGGGTGTTAAACAGTGCATTGATGATCCCAGCGTACTCATGTGCATTACTCATACGTTCCATATTTGGCAATGGGCTTATAGTAATTATTATAATGGAAAGAGAAAAGGACCTATAAATTACTAGTTATGACTAACAGTCCACCAAGGTAACGAGATAATAATTATGCCGTCAGATAGTGCGACAGCAAGGCACAAAACTGACAAGGATATTGAGACATTCGACGACCTGACACCTAGCTCCAACTCATCTACTTCTAGGTACTTTTCTCTTTCCAGATTTCTTTTTTTACCAAGCACAGCATACCAATGTGTACATGAGGACTCAACTGTGCATAGACTTTTATTATATATATATATATATTTTTTTTAGGGCTTTGTTATGTCATCGTATGTATTTGTGCAGGCGTTGTGGCCGGATTCCTGCAAAAAACAAATTGATACATGTAGGTGGCGATAGGAGCAGTGACACATTTGCAACTTTTACATGTACTATATCAACATTTTTTACATTCTGAGGGGAGGAAGGGAGGGAAGGGTTGTGTCCAAACTAAAACAATTCGTTTGGTGAAAAAAGTTCGATATTCACGGACGGCCCCTAAGCTAGAAGGCTCCCCCCCCCCTTCCAGTTCTTTGGCGACCGACAGTAGTGTATGGATGAGTTGAGTGCTAATCTGACAAAACATGCACCGCACGTTTACTTTTGTAAAATAGCAATGAAAAATATCGATTGTGCACTCATAACCATGTATAAAACAATTGAAATGAAACAATTCCAGAACGTTGCAATTTTAGAACTGTTGTCACCTCGTCGGTTGTTTACTTTTGTATTTACTATTCTCCCCCAGTTCCTCCAGTTGTGGACACGTTCTCAACGCTGAACAATACAAGGCCAACCACCACCGGCGACATCTCATTCTACGTTACCCTGAAGTACACACCCACACCATCGCCGACTATCACATGGCTGCACGATGGATTGCCGATTAACACAAGTGAAAGCAGGGTACAATTGCATGAGGATAGTTTGTCCTTGCACCTGACTCAGCTGGCCGTGTCCGACAGTGGATCGTACACCGTCTTCATGAACAACACCGTGGGTTCTGAGAAAGTGGTGTTCTTCCTGGATGTTGAAGGTATGGAAAATTCTAACCCTCCTTTTCCAACTTGTATGCTTATGTGCATGCGTGCCTGCCCGCCTGCCTCATGGCCTGACTGTATGTCTGCGTGCGTGCGTGCGTGTGTGACTGTCTGTCTGTCTGCCTGCCTGCTTGCCCACCCGTTTTTGTTAGTGTCAACTTTTGCGTATTCTTTTTCTCTTGTGTGTTTATGTCATGCCCAGTGCCCCCAGAGGTCGGCACATTCTCAACTTTGGACGTAAGCAAACGGCTTGGCAAACGCGCCACGTTTTCCATCACCCTGAACACAACACACCGCACAATGCCGACTATTGAATGGTCGCACAACGGATCTCCCATCAACACCAGCGCGGACAGCGTGCAGTTGTCCAATGGTGGACTTTCGCTGAAACTGCCCAAGCCGACGCCATCGGACGCGGGAGTTTACACAGTTTTGGTGTGGAACAGTGCAGGGTCTGATAGCGTGACATTCACGCTGGATGTTCGAGGTAAGTGCGGACATATGTTGCCTGATGATCGTAGTGATACGTGAAACTCAGAGTTGTGACAAGGCTTCCAATCTCTCTTGTGTACATGCTGATATATATGAGTGTGAGTTACGAAGTCTGAAGAACATGTTGAACGGTCTCTGCTGGGATGACGACTACACCATAGCTCAGTGGTTAGAGCATCGCTGGCTACAAGCGAGGGTCCCTGGTTCGAGTCCTGGTGGTGACAGTCAATTTTTTCTTCAGACTTTTCCCGTTTTTATCTTTCCCTCAAACTAATCATGATATATGTTACCATTACTGTTTGTCTGTTCCCGTAATTCCCCGAATATAAGTTGCACCTTTTTACACTCAGCTTCAAGGCCTACAACGGGGGTGCGACTTAAAATCGAGCACGATTACCACTGAAGTGAATACATCGAAACGGTATGACATGGACTTGAAAATAGGAGTGCGACTTGCAGTCGAGTGCGACTTACAATCGAGCATGATTGCTACTGAAGTGGATATACCGAAACGATATGACCTAGACCTGGAAATAGGAGTGCGACTTGCAATCGGGGAAATACCGTACTCCGTTTGCCTTTGTCAGTCTGCCTGTCCACCTCTCTCTTCTTCTGGGTACTGTAAAGTCTGCACACGTTTACGGCTCATTCAAATTTCTCCCTCCCAGGGCTAAAGCACAGTTCGGCCGCATCAAATTTTCGGCCTGTACTGATGCCGCATGTATACACTGTCACACTGAACATTGCGAAGCAAAATTTCGGCCGCAGCAAACATGACCAGGCCGAAAATAGTCGAAAATAGATAGGCGCCGGATATCTGTTGACTTTAATACAGTACTGTACATTTAAGCAGTCATGTTCACTGGTTTAGCCGCTTCCTGTCAACTGGCCTAATACAGTCAGACCTCGCTTATCCGGTCCTCTTTTATCCGGATCCCTCGCCACCCGGAAGAAAATAGCTGGTTACAGATGTACAGCATACGTGACGCATCCAACAAAACCGGTGTTCGATTATCTGGTTCCCTCGCCTATCCGGGTACGTTTGTGGAAAACGGATGTGTGCGGTTAAGCGAGGTCTGACTGTAGTGGGTGTGCGACTGCCTGCACCGCCTCCGTACAGTGCGGCGACGGTGGCGGCAGAACTTCACATCACGTGACCCGGTTCAAACGGTTGCGCCGGCAAACCGAGCAAGACGACCAGAAGGGATTTGAACCCAACGCGGGGTTTGTGGGCAACCATGTATCTATATCATGCACAAGGTGCAAATAATGTGCACGAACTATTCACGTTATGTGAAGTTCTGCCGTCCCAGACCCCATGTCACGTAGCTGGAGTTGCACGCCCTTGGGGTTATATTCTCCTGATAGCACAAACATGCATCACAGCTTTCCGTTGTATCTCCTATTCCCTGCAGTGCCTCCAGTTGTGGACACGGTCTCAACCCTGAACAGTACAAAGCTTATCACGGAAAACATCTCGTTTTACGTTAACCTGAAGCACACGCCTAATCCGCCACCAACTGTCACATGGCTGCATGATGGATTGCCGATGAACACAAGCGTGAACAGAACACAATTGTCTAGTGATAGCTTATCATTGAACTTGACGCATCTGGCACTCTCTGACGGTGGAATGTACACTGTCTCGATTACGAACATGTTCGAATCAAAGAAAGTGATGTTCTTCCTGGACGTTCAAGGTATGTTCTGAAAGTAATATCGATTCTTCGCCCACTTTTCTGCATGTAAGTCTGCCTGCCTGCCTGGCTGCCCGCCCGCCTGCCTGCCTGCCTGCCCGCCCGCCTGCCCGACTGCCCGCCTGCCCGACTGCCCGCCTGCCCGCCTGCCCGCCTGCCCGCCTGCCCGCCTGCCCGCCCGCCCGCCCGCCCGCCCGCCCGCCCGGCTGCCCGCCCGCCTGCCCGCCCGACTGCCCGCCCGCCCGACTGCCCGACTGCCCGACTGCCTGCATGCCTACATACTTACATATCTACCCTTAGAAAACTCTCAGCTGTTGGAAAAGATCCTGACGCCGCCCTGCGAGCAGCTGCAACTCTAAAAGGGCCGGTGCAACTGGAGAAATGATAATTTTGAGACTTTTTGTCCCTCCGCTTTACTCAAACTTGCCCGGGCTTCACTTGTGATATTCTCCGAGTCCTCAGCGGACCTCACCGTTTGGGGCATTTTCCGTAATGTCAGTGCATCTCTAGTGTGCTTGTGTGTGTGTGCATGCTTTATTTATAGTGGAAATCATAACAGGCAAATGCCTAACAACCATGGACCCACTGAACTTGAGATAAAGTTTTCTGACTACAACGGTCAATCTTATTCTCTCTCTCTCTCTCTCTCTCTATCTCTCTGTCTCTCTCCCTCTCCCTCTCTCCCTCTCTCCCTCTCTCCCTCTCTCCCCCTCTCCCTCTCTCCCTCTCTGTCTCTGTCTGTCTCTCTCCCTCTCTGTGTGTCTCTCTCTATCTCACTCACACACACACACACACGTGCGCGCGCACACACACACACACCTGTTCAGGGTTCCCGATCAGACTGTGAACATTGAGTAGAACTGACGTTGTGACACAGACAGGGCCACCGGAACTGGTACGGTTGGTCAGGTTATGACCAACACATGATACCTACCATGGTCATGTGTACCTGTCGTATCATACAAAAGTATGAAAGGCACTAAAACTTCCAGACCAATCAAGAACTACAGTTGCGCTCTGTGAAATCCGACCCAGAGTGCACATTTGGCGCCCTGTTTTTGCACGGCCCTTGACGCCCTGGCAGTGGCACGAATGCGGCTGGACGTACGCATGTACAGATACGATGATGTAATCGAAACTGGTACAGGGCGCCAGTTTTGCACTTTGGGTTGGATTCCACCGAGCGCAACTGTACTTCCGGCGGTCCTGACTAAGAACATGAAAATGCACAATTTTTTTGACATAATTATATCCAATCACTCTAGGAAGATACAATATTTCTATTGTGCTTCATTTCACTCCCAGTTCCCCCAGTGGTGGCCACAGTATCAGCCTTGGATACAACTAAGCAGCTCGGCAAGCGCACCAGGTTTTCCATCACCCTGGAACACACGCCCGTTCCACCGCCAACTATTATATGGTCGCACAATGGATCTCCAATCAATACGAGCGAAGACAGGGTGCGTTTATCCGATGGTGGCTTGTCGCTGAGATTGGCCAAATTGATGTACGAAGACACGGGAATTTACACCGTCTTGGTGGAGAATGGTGCAGGAACAGATAGCGCGACATTCTCCTTGTATATTCCAGGTATGTCCTGCTGTGTCTGTGTCTGTCTGGCTGGCTGTGTGCTAGTTTGTCTGTTTGTCTGTCTAGCAAGTGCTTGATTATCCATAATGACAGCTAACGAGATAAATGGACACCAATAGTAGACAGCCGATTCACACAATAGCAGCAGAACTTGATTCAGACAATTATTGCCGTTTGGACTGTTACGCAATCACAGCCATTCCGTTCCCCGGGACGCAGGACACAAAGGACAAGACTTGTTTGTTACATTATTCATATTGACAAGACGGAAAAGCAAACTGCTCTGACAGAGACGAACAAGAAGACTGACAAAAGGACTCTGGACTGTAAAATCGCGCATGCTCATATCACACATGCAGGCGACTAGACAAGGCAGTTTGGGGAATGCCATCACACAGGAAAACAACACAGTCATTTCACAATAGGACCGTATTGGTCTGTCTACCTCAGCAGTGGAAGAATAGAGTGGTTTCACTTGCATGGTAATCTCTGCGGCACTATCACTGTTTATAGCGTTATAGAACGAGGTCTTTCTCGTTGTCCAGGAAACGACCAATCAGCAACATTCCCGCCAAGGGCCTTATCAGAGTTTAAAGCCCGCTCTATTGTTATTTTACTACTCTTGATGACGGGTCGAGGGCCTTGGATTCGTTTAAAGCCCGCTGAATATACTCTAAACTGGTGCGTACAACTCTCTGTATGCATTTTAGTACGGTGTAGATAATGAACTCTGCATAAAATGTACGGTGTACTACTAAAAGTTACGCATTTCAGAAGTGTGTACGGTTTTTGCCTCCCGTATTCTTTCATCTGTACGAATTTCCTTTGTCAACAGCTTGCGGAAACCTATAAAAACCGAAGATTGAAGTCATTAGAGGTATCGACAAGGGGCTCTCAAATCCCCTAAATAGCTCCGCAAGCTATGAATAAGAATGAAGCTCGCAATAAGAGCCCAGCATTTCATTTGCTTCTATTCTACTTTTAGTAGTCCTAAGTGGTGCTGAGTTACCATAACTTACCAGAAGAAAATATTCTTTCATACCACACCAAGTCTCTCTGCACACAAACCACAAACTAGCCAATATAATGGTACACAAGCATGATGGAAGTGAGATAATGCATGTAACCTCGTTCTAAAATAGTTAGTGCATGGCAGGGAGGGTCTTATGGCTTGTTTGTGCCCTCAGGGTAGCCCTCGGGCCTACGGCCCTCAGGCTAACCTGTCGGGCACTAACAAGCCATAAGGCCCTCCCCCTGCCATGCACTAACCTATAATTAGTGCTATTTTTTGTCTTTCAACATGATTTTGTAGGTTTGTGTTCCTTT